AATTCATATTTTAAGAGTATAATTTAATAAAATAATATAAACTATTAATGGTAATAATTTTATATTAAAAACAATTGATTTACACCGTTTATTGACTGAATAACGTGACCCTTTATCACCTACAATGATATATGAAAAATATTTCATGAAGAGTATCACGCCGTTAATTATTTCTAATCAAACTGATTTTAGGAGTATAGTTGTACAATTCATATTTTAGGGGTATAATTTAATAAAATAATAAAAACTATTAATGATAATAATTTTATATTAAAAACATTTGATTTACCACCTTCTATATTAAAGGTCTTTATATTTACGTTTCCATAATTAAGAATAATTATTACCTTCCAACATTTACCAATATACAATCAAATGACCATTATACCCTTTGTTATTAAAATTAAAGAAAAAACGGAAATTTCCTATTGGTCGAAAATGGTTTGCAAAGTTTTCACGAATCGGGCGGTTTGTAATCTAATCCGCCTCTCTCTCTCTCTCTCTCTCTCTCTCTATATATATATATATATATATATATATATATCCACCCTTTTTTGTGCAAACCATACAAACTGATCTCATCCATCTATTTGTTTCATTAAACGAATGAATAAAACTGTTTCACCGTTTATTGAATTAACTCACGTGACTCATTGTCACCTACAATGAAAGATGAATCATTTGACATGTAGTAGTGAACGATATATAAACTATTTCATTAACGGTTATATGTGTAGGATTGGACTCTTAATAATTTTTAATCAAACTAATTTTAAAACTAGGGACACCATAATAAACGATGAAACATATAAAGAATGAAACATTTTTGAAAATTGACTGAAATATTTTAAAAACTAAATACCTTTATTTTCGTAAGTGAAATTTTTTCATGCATAACACGTTTCGAAATACTAATAAATTAAATTCATCAGTAAAATTGTGTTAATGGTCACTATTGAAATGACATTCATTTCATTACTCAAACTACATATATTTGGTCAATGAAACGAAATCAGATTTCATATTATACTCTTTTTACAATTCATATTTTAAGAGTATAATTTAATAAAATAATATAAACTATTAATGGTAATAATTTTATATTAAAAACAATTGATTTACACCGTT